AAATTAATTGCAAGACCCATTTGTATACCGAATATACAAATGGACCCATTCGGTATACATATGTGTTGTATAAAAATTAATTTTAGGACCCATTTGTATACCAAAATATACAAATTGATCATTTTGGTATACATATGTGTTGTATATATGTAGTAATTTTGTTTATATACAATTACTATGTTTTAGTTTGTATACCGAAATATACAAATACAGATTTTTTTGTATATGTATACTGAAATATACAGATTAATAGCAATAGCAAACATAAAGTTTGCTATGAAGCACAATTATACAAACTAAATTATTACATACAAATATAATTTTTATGTTTGCTAAACCTAAAATTTACTCATTTTTGTTTTCTGTTTTTCTGAAAATAAACTGATCAATTAATTTAGGGATTTCTATCGAGTGGCTTGATTTGATATTTTCACTTAACTGTTTATCTTATCATTTTTTTAGATATACTAATCCGCTTACATAACCATTGCGATATTGATTGATTTGGTGTGCATATAATGTTTATTGATTAGTTCTTAATCGATTTATTAATTAAATGGATAACATTTTTACATAATATCTTAAAACATGAAAGCTAATTGACTTCTATAGAGCCTCCTCTTACCATAACAACTATACTTGATATACAGACATTCAAATAAAAAAAGGTCTTTTGAAAATATTCTGATTAAATTTCTCATGGGTCAATTAATACTACATATTCCGTCCAAATCAACCCAACTTAATTATAAATGGACTATATTGAACAGGGGAGGAGGAAATGGAGTCGTTAAATTGGATAGAATCAATAGGTGGGTGGATCATCGATAAATTGGTGAGTTATGTTTTCATGAACTAATTTTTTAATTGAATCGTTTGTTGATCAACATATTACCCCTAATTCTCTGTCCATGGAACTATTTTTCATGAAAACAAATATTTTTGATGTTGGGTTGCTAGAAAATGCATTGTACGTTACTTCAATCTAAATCTAAAGATATCAAATTATAGCTTTCGTTTGTTTTCACACGTAACAAGCGTCAAGTTGGCAAGAATTATTGAATTCAATTTTGAGTAGAACAGAACAAGGAAACATTCAAGGAATTAGAAACCAAAAGAGTAGGTACATTGACCAATAATTCATAGTTAGGCATAATACACTTTTTAGACTGGCTTCAATTGTCGTTTATGTCCTTCAACTTTGAGTGTGAATAAGTAAGTACTTAACTTGTATAAAGTTGAACAAGTAGACACACATGTCCTACGTGGCGTAATACAAACTAGTTATCATGTAAGATGAGTGTATCTCACGCGAATTGACATGTAGAACACGTTGTAGACATTGGAATTTTGTGGGACTCTACAAGACATGTTCAATTCGAGTTGAGACTCTATAAGGTGGGTTCAATTCCAATTAAGTCTTGGAGGCTACTCAACCCTAAACCCTAGTTCAGTACCCCTATATAAAGGGTACTATATTTCTTTGAAAAGACATCTCGAAAATTCCTTAATGAGATCTTGAATATCTCAATATATTCGACAAAAGTAATGGAATATTCATATAGAGGTCAAATCTAAATCACCCTAATTTGAGAAATACGCCACTAACGGCCCTCAAATCATGGATAAATCTTATGAGAGGAGAATCAAGGGATCAACAGATATGTACCCGCAATATTTATCAATAAAATTATGTTTCTTCTTATTTTATTGTGATTGCAATTTATTTTCTGTCACATTAACATTTGCTGCAAACACACGTGTATTTACTTGTTTAATATTATACAAGTTGTACATTGTTTCTTGCTGGACTTTAATTGGATGGGAAAGTGAATCTGATCTCAAGACTTTTGAACTTGTTCATATTTCTTGTCGTCTTCCTATTGCCATATGTGAGAAATAGATTTTGAGCCTAACTCTATCTCAAAAGTAGCTTTAAGGATGAATGATTGTTCAAGCCATATAAAGTGTTCACCCATCTCATTAATCATTGCAAAAGTTTTTGTCATTCTTTAACCCCATTCTCTTCATCTCCCTAAACTTTATACATTCGTTTCTAGTGCCGTCTTTTCTTTTCTTTTTTGTTTGCTATTGAGTTTCAAACCCGACTACATTTAGATTTTCGTCAAGAAGTCCCACATTGAGGTAAATATTTCCTAATAAAGGCATATTCATACCCAAGGAGACTCAAACCTAAGACATCTAGTTAAGGATGATGAAATACTTGTCACTCCACCACAATTCTTGTTGGTGAAATTATGACATTTGAAACTATTTTTAATACCGGCAAGATAGAAAGTTTTTCACAACCAAAGGGTATGTTGGAGTGGAGGAGACTACTCCTCACTAGAGGTCTCACGTTCGAACCTTGAATTTAATAAAAAACCTTGATAAAGAGTGTTTCCTCCTGAATGGGTCCTACACAACGCGAATTCAAAATAGTCAGACTTCAATGCAGATACTGAACACCGTATAGAAAGCCAAAAGAAAAAAGATAAAAACTTTTCAAGTAAAAAATTATGATCAAAATTTTGAAAATAAATTTAGAATATTAATTTTTTTCTTATGTATGATAATTGAATTTCATCTACTAGAATAGTCAAGTCATGAAATTATTCAAGTAGCTTAATTATGTCACTATTAGAAAAAATGTTTTTCTCTCAAATCAGTGAATCTTTTTTTTGTGATTAAACATTTCACCATCTTAGTCAAAGAGAATTCAAAACCTTTTTTCTTTTGTCTTTCTACTAAATACTAATGTGTTAAGATCATAAAAGATCAGGTATTGGTGGGGTAGCTTTACCTTAAACCACTTTTTCTTTATCTTCATCAAATCATTTTCCTCCTCTCTTCTTTTTTTATTTTTTCTATTTTGAAAAATATTTGCTTTATTCATTTGAATGGACTGAGAAATTGGCTAACTCCACAATTTATGGTGATATTATTCCTCCACATCTCCCAGGCCAAAAAGAAAAAAGAAGTCCTTTTCTTCACTTTTTCTTTTTTATAAATCCTTTATTATAATAATAATAATAATAATAATAATAATAAAAATAATAATATTTGGAGTTTTTAATCTCTTTCCATAGAATGGCTGTTTTCATTTACAGGCTATCATGGACCCATGGTGATGGCGCCATACCTTCTTCACTTTAATAAAGTTTTCAAAGTTTTTATAAAGACATAACACCTAGATGGGCATATAAAATTGAACAAGTAAATACATGCATTTTACATCACGGCTCAAGTGAATTGGCACGTAAAATGGGTGTGTGTACTTCTTTAATTTTATACAAGTTTATGTTCCTATTTGTGCACACCCAAAATTTAAAGACATAAAATCCAATTGAGGTCAAATTAAAGAAAACGTTTTTGTATTATGCCCTTTTATAAAAGAACAAAACTTAATTTCCCTCCAACTGCGATATCCAATTTAGTTCATTTAATTTTTGGTCGCTAAAAGCTCTTTTTTCTTCCCTTTAATATATGCTCATAAAGGAAAACCACCAATTGGAACAATTGGTCATGAGTGGTTATAATCACTAGCAAGTAAGCAACGAAATAACAACCCATTAATAAATTTAAGTAAGACAAAATAGGAGGCTAAATATCATGATTCTTTCGAAGCTTCTTCTAATTAGAAAAAAAGGTTCTTGGGAGTAAATAATTAAATTAAATATGCGTTACTAATTAAGAAAAACTACTCTTAATATAAGCTCTAGATAAGTCACATCAAATGAAACACAAGTTGCGTCGTGTGTGAAAAGGTAAGAGAGATTTGAGATAATATATACAAGGACTTTAGAAAATCAATATTGAGATTTGAGATATCCTAAATGTAATTTTCGTATTATAGGCAAATGTTGTTTTAAACTAGTATATACGTCGTTATCAATTCAATTATCATCAAGTATGCACTTTTGTGGCAATAATTGTACGAGCCATATAGTTAAATTTTTAAAAAAGATAACAAACTTTTTTTAAAATGATCAATTCATAAAAGTTAAAAACTCTTTACTACCTTTTATGTTCAATGGAGCATTTGGAGTTGTTATTTTGCATATACTAAAACATAATTTTTGTGATCAGTTGTGTAGTTGGAGTAATAAGTATTTCTTCATTTTTAATTAGAGTTATCAATTTCAAGTCTTAGGAATGGACTCGTCTTTGATAAGGAGCACTTTAATTATAAGTTGAACTTTCCAACGTGAACTTCAATCTACAAAAAGAGTATCGAATATGAAGTGAAAAATAAAAAAAATTTAATTTTTTTTTAGCATATAACAAACATTCATATCAACTTTAATTTGAAATATAAACACAGAGACATGTAATAATTACCTATGTGTGCCTCTTCATGTAGCATTCAGACCAAATGACTCCGCCACTTAATTCCCATCTTGAGGTAACTAGAATTTCCTGTCTAAATGAAAGAGAGTTTCAATTGATTTCATCATCATATATCTGCAGTACACAAAATCAAGATAGAAACTTAGCACCAGAGGAAGAGACGTGATATAATTGCATATCATGATACAATATACTAACACAGAGAAAATGAACAGACAAAATACTAAGCACAATAACAATAACATATTCAGTAAAATTTTATACGCAAATTTTATCATTATCTCTTCGAAGCAGAGAAATACTAAAGAGACAAATATAAAGACGTAAAAGATTAGAAAATGTAGAGGGGAAGCAAACATGATATAGGACTCATTTTTTGTGATTTGTTGGAAAATGCCAACAAGATTAAAAAAAAATATATATATAAAAAATAATTTTTTAAAAGAAAATTTTTTAACGTGGCACGCATCACATAAAGAGGTGAGTTAATATCCATCCATGGTAGTAAAAAAATAAATTGGACTCATATATATGACACAAAAACTACCAATTTGTTATTGACATATACACTCTCTTCTTACATAAAAATAAATAAATCTCATCCTCTCTTTTTTTTTCTTTTTTTTTTTCTTGATGGGGTTTTCTTTTTCTCTATATAAAAAGTATATATATATGTTCCAATATTGCCCTTGTCCAATAGAAAATATCAAGTGTTATTGCCAATGGTTGCCATGGTGAATCAAATAAATATGGCTACTATTATTCCCATGACTATGATGATAAGCATATTGGGGAGTCTTGGCCGTGACTTTCTCAGGACAAATAGGAAACATCACCGGTGACGATCTTGTTCTAATATGACGTATGCGCCCATTAATTGTTTCATCTAAAGAATTTCGTGTCACTTTCTTATATGGTCTTGGACAATCATGATGCCTCGTTGACGCAGGAGGGCTAGTAACGGTTGAACAAAATGAACTTGGTGATGACGTGGCATCGGGGTTGCTAATAGTGGTACTATTGGTGGATGAGGTAGAAGAAATGGAAGGTGTAGGAGATACAACTTTTTTTGTGGATTTTGGTGGATATAAGAAAGCCCTAATCTTGAGAAAGGATGATATTGTTGAAACACGATCATATTCTTCGATGAGATTGACTAAATCTTCGTCAGATGTTATCGATATAAGTGCATCTAGATCTTCATTTGGCAGCTGACACTTTAAACTCACTGATGATTCAGACATCTCCCCTAACTTCAATAATAGCTCTGAAATAAACAAAAATTGATATATATCTAAATTAATTAAATATGATATGATAAAATATGTCGTAAAAGTGTAAAAAGAAAATGTCGTACCTTGTTGAAACATAGTATGACATATAAAATTAAAACGATGAAACATAAATTATAAATTATACGATGAAATAAATAACAACCTGTGAATGAAATGGAACGATCAACGGAGAGGACACGTGTTTCGCCACCATAATACCGGAGTTTTCCATCGGTTTGACGGGGCATAATCTTGCCACCATAGCTACAAAGGAATTTTAGAGGAAAATTATGGGAATTATTGGATGGACTAACCATGCTTTTTTTTTTTTTTTTCTTTTCTATTTTGCAAGTATTGGAGATGTTATATGTGATAATTTAAGGGGTTTTGAAGAGGCCTTAGTTGGTTGTTCAAGCCTAAGTAAGGTTACCTTTAGCACTTATTTATAGAGTTTTTTTTTTGGGGGAATGGGAGAAGATAAGAGGAAAATTGGATCGGGTCGGGTCGGGTTAGAAAAACCCAGAAAGAGACCCCACTTTGATGTTTGAACACGTCACCTAAGATTCCCATATTGGTGGGGCCCCTTATTAGTTTAGTTAAGATTTCTTTTTCTTTTTTTGTCTTTCAAAGTTTAAACAAGTGGTGTCCAAAATGGTTGAATTGTCATCACAATTAATAGCATTTTGGTTACTAGATTACATATTTGTAAAGCAAACTATATGATCATATTGGTTACTAGATTACGTATTTGTAAAGTAAACTATATGATCATATGGCCGATATAACATCATATTACTAAATTTTTTTAGGTCACTAGATTAGAATTAGAATTATATAAATATGTACTTGTTTTTAAATTATGGTGATAGTCATAATCCAGTATGACGTTACGTTTAGCTCATTTAACTAGAAAAGCTTCCTAGTAGAAAATTCTTGGTGCTCAAAATCAAATCTCTTAATAAAGTGCGAAGAAATTTTATTCATCCGACCACGTTCTTTTTGTTGAATTTAGCATCCTGCACCCTAACCATTATGTAAGGATAGGATTACAACTTATCAAACAGAAAGCCACCACTCTAATTATCTAAACAAAGTATATTCTATGAATATGTCATTGGCTTGGCCCAGAAATTGATTTCATTATAGGCGGAGCCAAGTTTTGAAGCTTATGCGTTTGAAATTTTAGCCTTTTTAAGTTATTGATTTCTAATTAATAATTTGTACATATTGAATGAATCTCTCAAGATAATTATAGTGTTTGAACTAATATTATTGAGTTCGCCTGAACCCATACATATCTTAAAGGCTCGCTCAATGAATTTCTTAAAATAAATACAGTGTTTGAACTAAAGTTAGTGAGTTCGACTGAACTCATATCTCAAAGGCTAGCTCAAAAATTTCTTAAGATAAATACCTAGTTTGAATTAAAGTTACCGAGTTCAGTCAAAGCGATATCTCAAAGGCTAGCTCCGCCCCTGATAATAAGAGTATTTTTTATTATACTTGTTCACCTTGGAATGTGGGTATATGTGAAAACAATAGCTCCATGCCCTGGCTATGTTGGATTCATGATCATTACGAATTTGAACAGAGATTCCTTAATTACTGTGATGGATTTTGGACGATTCCTTTTGTCAATGACGTTGCGTGTTGTAATTCTTATATTATTATATTATAGAAGCTAGGTAGCTACTAAATTATCATATGATATATAATAGAATATTCTCTTTACAGATAGAAGGATCAAGTAGAAATTATATATACACAACATAATATTGGAGTTGTATTTGTAACTTATAATCAAATAAAGTTGAAGCTTACATATAACATATTACGTGTTGATCTCTATTTTTTTTATTATTTATTTAATCTTACTTATGCACCATATTATAAGTAAGAGAGAACATTAACTAGAAGTAAATATATATTTGCCGGTCAAATTGTAAATTTCAATATGACTAAGACTTGGGCATCTCTAATATTTCAAATCTTGACTATATACACAAAGAATACGACACTTTGTTTTGTCACCTATTTTCTTTGCAATAAGAGATTGAAATTGCAGGGCTGACATAGTTGTTGAAATATGATTGGCTGGCCGCTTCTGGCAGCATATGGAGAGTATTTAAGAAACTATAAATATTTTACATTATTTAAGAAAAAAAAATATTTTCTATCGTTTTTTCTTTCTTTGGTGGATAGTAAAGTCAGAGGCGAATCCAGGATTTTAAGAAAACGGGTGCACCATTGCTTTAAAGATAAGATAATTTTTTTTTATAATAACAATAACTAAGCGAGCAATACATAAAAATTACATTACCACAAAAAATATCATCAGTTTACAATTGTACTCGACGAGACTTCATATTTTGAAAACGATCTATAATAGCATCATTACTTACATTTTCAAATATCTTCCGCTCTATCTTACAAACTAAACATTCATTCAAAAATTCTTCACCAATGCTATTAAGTAGATCATTTTTGATGAGCTTCATTGAGGAGAATGCTCTAAATTCTTGACTTGAAGTTCTTCTTTGTGTGGAAAATAGAAAACAAATTTGAAGAGAGAAGAAAAATATTGTTGGAATTTGGAACTTGAAAAGTGTGTGGAAAGGAAACTTTTGAAGTCTTTGACTATTAGAACTTTCAGAATTTAGCTTTTTTTTTTCTTTTTTTTTTTAATGAAAAATGTGTTTTTAGTTAAAAAAAATAAATTGCAGCGAATTGGGGCTGCCTGGGATTGAACCTGTGACCTGTGAGTTGAAATTTTGCAGTGGTACCAGTGAACCATCCAACCATTTTGAGAACGGGTTCAACAAGTTTTAAGTTAATATATTTTTTAATAATTATAGAAGTAATATATCGAGTTTAGTCGGATGACCACGGGTTCGGGTGACCCAAAATTAGTACATAAATTCGCCCCTGAGTAAAGTATCCTAGTTCTTGTCTTTTACTATGCCAATGCTTTTTCTATTCTTATATGTCTTATTAGGACTTGTAATTTTAATTCCTCTTAATGTACGGTTGTAGATATTGAAAATTTTTAGGACTTCATTAAGACGAATTCTATTTTAATTAGGGTTCTTAGAGACTACTCCATCCTAAATCCTATCTTATGCCTATATAAGAGATATTATATTTCCTTAAAGATGCATCTCGAATATCTCATAAATTATTGGTTATTCACAAAGAGATCATGAAGACACCAAGTATTGTCTTTTTCAAAGAAATCTCGAATATGATCATCAAAATATGTCACAGACTCTTCTTGACAATATTTCAAGTAGATCTACAAATCCTTTCATGGAGATCAAGTCCAAATCACCCTAGGAGAGAAGAATCAAGGGATCAACAAACCTGTACCTGCACTATTATCAATAAAATATTCTTATTTTTTCATATTTTTTGGTGATTGTATTTTCTTTCTGTCAATTTAAAATCTGTTGCAAACAACGACAACCACATTTATAAATGCAGTTTAAGGATCTGCAGATGTTCAATCGAATCCTCTATGCTCAATGTGTTCAACAAGATCAATTAATTATAAGTTTGTTAATTTTTTCGCTATCAGCGGAAACTTTCCCCATCGTGATTGATACAACATCGAAATATAGAAATCGAAATCCTAACACTAATAACAAAGATAAAAGATAGATGAATAGACATCATATGAAAAAGAATTAAGAACAATGGTTATAGATCAACAAATATGTAGCACCCCAAACATTACTAAGCTAAGATCCAAACCATTATGTGTATGTGTATAGGTCCGTACAGGGGATTCTTAATGGTGAATAGGCATTAAGATCAATTACTAAGTATGGTAATTATTTTGGAGATGAATTAAGGTCATAAGAATTCTCTAGTACAAAGTTAAGTTTAAAGTTTCCTTACCGATTGAGTTCCAGTATAAGATTTTACTTGGGTCAAATTCAAACTATCATATATCTTAGAATATGAAGAGTTATGTGTCACATTAACCATAAAATTTGATGTCTTTGAGTCTTCTTTAGAACGACATCAACCTCTCGTCAATCCAATGTTTGAGTCTAAAATTTATGATCATTTTAGTTTAGACAGAGACATACTGTTTTGGACAGGCGTTTCGCCCGTGTTGAACAATTCTGAATTGGTGAAACGCCGGTCTAACGCTAGTTGAAGAAATATTAAGAGTCCGGCATTTTGTTTTGGACATGTGTTTACCTGCGTTGAACAATTTTTTATAGACGTTTCATGGTGAAAACGTTGATGGGCTGATGGAAAATCATTTATGTCAGTTTTAGTTCGATTTTTCTCACTTTTGGCTATTATTTCAAGCCCTAAACTATTTTTTCTCTCCTCATTCATCAAAGTAAGTCTTTATCTATGGATTTCAAGCATTTCAACTCAAGTTTCTTTGTCTATTCATGAATTATTTATATAAATTTTAACCCTTGACCATAGGATTCTCAAGAAACGAATCCAAGAATTTCAAGAATGAAATTTTTGATTGTTTTATATCAAGTTAGGATTATTCTTCAAGACCTTGGAGCGTTTAAGATATCATAGTTAGGCGCCTGACATATATACTTACAGTTAGTAAGATCAAAGTTATGCTTTTCACCTCAAAATCCACGATTTTTGAATTCTTCTACTTTGAATATGCTAGTGTTTATTTTATTATTGAAATCATTATACTTTATGATTGTTAATGATCCTTGATTGATTCAGGGTTCATTCTATTCACCACATGACCACTTCCTAGTCAAGATTATTTGAACATCTTGTCATAATATTTCTTATGGCATTGTTTTCATGAGTAAAGAATATTTCAAGATTAAATTAAAGAAATTTTTCAAGAAAGTGTACTTTGCCTCAAGTGCATTACTTTAGAAAAGTTTCAAAAATATATATTCCGCATTAAAATGCATACTTTCAGAAGAAAAAAATCAGACAAATAAATATATATATATAAATCAGACAAATAGATTAAAACAAAGAAAATATATATTATATTGAAAATGAGGTATATATATTAATTAAATCTAAGAATTCAGTATCCCATATCACAATGTTTTAGTCCAATATCTACCATTGGGTCTCACCAATGTGAATGTGGTCCCTTTAAGCCACTGCCAATAATGTCCTATCCCATAAGCTTGGAAAGGAATATAATTGGTTTGTGTGGAGGGCAAGGGAATGGGGGTTGGTAAAGACTGAATCAAAGCTTAGATGCATCATGTCCTGTGACTATTTTAGCCCTATAATAATAACAATGATATTTTTAATAATAATCCAGAAAAAAAGTTAGTAGAATTTATAAAGAAATAAAATGTTGAAAAATGGTTTTGGGACCGCAACTAATAGAAGAATTATTTTGAATATCTTAACTTGAAATAGAAAGGTCAAAGATATATATTTTTATTAAAAAAGTAT